TGGAATGAAGTGGGCGGGCATCGGGAGGCCACTATGGCACGGGGCAAGCACTATGGGCAGTCTATCTGAAGTGTACCTGGTGTATAAGACGACCCCCCACTTGGAGGCATATTTTTCAGGGCCAAAAAATCGTCTTATACGCCGGCAAATACGGTATATATATATATGTATGCATTTAATTAGCATCCAGATCTAGAAAGTCCCTCAAGTCCCTTCAAAGTCAGTATTAACCTATATTTTGAGCAAATTTCTTATGGTATACTTCAGTTGAATCAATGAAAGGAAAGATTTGATAAAACACAAAGTATTATTTGAATGTTCTTAATTTTATTCTAAGATGTTAAGTTAGTTTGACTGTTTTCTTCTTGAATCCCTTGAAAATAGATTATAGAAAGAGTTACTAATTACTAAGACTTGTTGATTTAGTAACTGTCATGTTATATTTTGTTTCCTTAATGTGTTCACGGATTTTGTGGTATTTGTTTGTATAATTTTTATAAAAGTATAATAAATGATGGTTGTGAAATTTTAGGGAAGTGTTACACATTATTAATACAAGTGCTAAAAGTTCAGTAGATTTTAGTTTTCTGTGTATATAGTTTGTGCTAAACATTCATTTTTCATGGATGCCTTGGTTTTTAATTCTTGCTGAATGTGTTATAGCGGTCTCCAAAGAAGTACTTACTTTTTTGCCTTGAACTGAGGAAAGTACATATTGATTCATTAACAATTTGACAGTTGAAGATTTAGGTTGCTCTCTGTGGCACATATTGTTTTGTCCTCCAAACCTTTCTGTTATATGTCCTGATGAGTCTAAATTTATTTCAGATAGACTCATCACCTAATTTTGCTTTTGTTTGCAACACGAACATGTCATGATACAATATAAAAAATGATAATAATTATATGACATGGATTGCTTGAGGTTGGAGGAATCCCATCCTGGGGGCTCCATCAATCCTGAGCATACAGAGGGATTCGGTGAGTCAGTGTCCCAGCATACCTGTAAAATATTCACAGTATGTGCTACATCAAACAGGTTGTGTGTGGCCCTGATGTAAAATGCCTAAAGGGTATCTTTAAATGTTGATAAAAGTGACTGATAGCATGTTTTGATAATATGATAATTTTGTTTGATTATCTTGCTAGTGTATATTGATAATGACATAGCTAGCATTTTAATTAGTCTTATTAATTCATGTCATGTTTTCAGATTGGATCTGGTTCCTCTCGTCTTGGAACAGCTGCAACTATTAAAGGTCAGCATGATCTAACTTGAAAGTTGACTGACTTTCTGTTTCATTTTTGGTTGTAATAAAGATAACTGAGTACTGTTTAATTCACATGTAATGAAAAATCATTCTTGAAAGCTTTTTGTAGATAAAATCATATATCTTGTATTAAAGATTACTGGATTTAAATTGTGTCCCCTTTTCATCATCCAAATTTCACAAATGTATTTGAACATTTGCATTACATTGCATAAATTGTAAATTTTAATCTGTAAGAAAGTTCCTCGCTCTGAAGGAAAATACTTTCATGGATTTTGGTGAGGTTTGTGGAAAACTGAGTAATTTATTGTGAAACTGTTAAATTGGGTGCAAATGAGACACTAAAAAAAGGAAAAGTGTTTTTCTGTACATCTATTTCAGATAAATTCATATTATTTTTACCCTGTAATATTTTAGCTTACTAATTTGCCCTGGGAAAGAAATTTATGTTGTTTCAAGTTATTACATAGTTTTTGTTTCTTTTTTTTCTTCTTTTTTTAATTTTATTGGGGAACAGCTGTGGTCATTGGTTACACATTGCTTTCGTGCTACAGTGGCATAGTTGACTCTTTCAAGGAGGGTGCAGCTCACAGTGGCCCATGCGGGGATCGAACCAGCAACCTTGGTGTTATCAGCACCATGCTCTAACCGACTGAGCTAACTGATCACCCCTTCATTTCTTTTTAAAAACTTCATTTTAAAGAAGTAGTTTTAATAGCTAACAATATGAAGCTTTCCATATTATTTGATTTATAGTGCTATGAGAATAATTATGAGATCTGATAGTCTGTGATACTTCCCATTAGTTCAATGCATCTTCCATTATTATAATCCTTGATATACAAAAACTGTTTTAGTAGATGTAGTATATGGTAAACTACAATAGTATAGAAGATATCTACTATATTCCTTGATATCCTTGTTATGCTGCAGTATACAGTCTTTTCTTTTAATATAATGACTTCTCATGTTTCTTTTAACTTTGTAGGCGATACAGACACTGCTAAGACTTCTGACGATATCAGCTTAAGCCTGGGCCAGAGCTCTAGTCTTTGTAAGGAAGGAAGTGAAGAACAAGGTAAGAACATTATACTTCACAGTGATATGGTATATTGTGGTGACCAGTTTGTAGAATATGCAGCTTATATTTTGGCAGAGGTTTATAATAATTAATAAGGTATTTTTAAGAAACATTAAAATAAAATTATTTACTAGGATAACAATAATAGTGTTATAAGTATTTTGATGTTTCTGGAATTCAATTATACATGTTCTGCCAATTAAACATGGAGAAAAAAACTTCATGAGCATATGCTGTGAGTATGAGATGGGAGATAAGAATCTGCTATTCCTCTAGTTGGTCAGAGCTTATTGATAACCTGGTGTGTTATTTTCCATCCAGTATGAGCTCTAAATGCAACTGCTTCATATCTTGCCCAACAATATGTTTTAACAGAGAAATAACTTGCTGTTGGAGTTTCTGAGAAACTGAATGTGTGCCTCCAACATGCTGCCTCTTATAGCAGATTTTTAATAGAAATATTGGCTTTCAATGATTTTTTTCTCTTCTGTTCAACTCCATTATAAATGAATATTTTGGATTTTTTTGGGGTTTTTTTTTTGTTTGTTTTTCAAGAACTGCCATATTTTCACATTTGATTATTTTTTTTTTTAAAGATTTTTATTGGTGGAGGGGAGCAGCTCTGGGGAAGGGAAACAGACAAGTTGCTGTCCTTTTGTTCTTCAGTCTAGTTGTGGAGGACATTGCTTCACTGGCCCATGTTGGTATTATCATTGTTCCCTTCCCGGATGAGGCAGTCGCTTGCCGGCCTCTGGACTGCCGCTCACAGCAGCTCTTGGCAGCTTATACCGGCTGCTGGCCGCACACGCTGGCTGCCAGCCCCACATAGTAGTTTATGGCAGCCCAGTACAACAGGAGCTACAGCCTACGCTGTCACCGGCGATTCATAGCAGCCCAGCTCCAGCTCTAGCTGTTGTTCACCATCTTAGCTGTAGAGGGCAGTGTCACAGGCCCTCATGTGGGATCAGAACTGGGGCTCTGATGCTCAGAGATGGCGTCCCAAGCCAGCTCTTAACCAACGCGCCAGTTGGCCGGCCCTCCCATTTGATTTTTAATTTTCGAGCATGAATGGATGGGTATGTCATCCCTGTTTTCTAGTAGAGATTATCCCATGTTATATAATCGGTGAGACAGATAATTGTCTTCCTATTCCCAGCCTGTTGTTTTTATTAGCTTGTGGGTGATGTTTGGTAGGCAGGCAGGCCGATAAATTTCCTGTACTTATTTATGAAGTTACAAATAGATCACTAAATTATGACATTTCCCCATTCATTTAATGTTTTACCCAGGTCCAGTTCTTACAAGCATATTTTGTTACTGGTACTTCAAGTTTTAAGTTTATCACTGTAACTCGGCCTGTGTTGAATTGTAGTACCCCACCATTGTTTATTTGCTTTTGTGGACTACCCCTGCCAACCTATCCCTCCCCGCTAAAAAACCCCTAAACATACTGTATGATGTGGAAACTATTTTCTTATAAAAAGTAAAGGTGAACTGATCAGTTTGAGAATTATAGTATCCCGTTTTGTAACATGTCATTATCAAAATGTCTCAAAAAGTAGGTAATCTTAGAGGGTCTAGTGCCATTGCATTTAGCAGTCACATATATTTTATATCTGGAAAGTACCATGTCCAGTCAAGAATTTTGTAGTGTGGTAGGTTAGGAATTAAATACACACCGAACCTTCACAAAGATACACATTGACATAGATAATTATGTCTAACATCCACTGAGTACATGCTGCTACTATGTAGGTTAGGGGTCAACACACTTTTTCTATAAATGGTCAGATAGCTTTGTAGGCCATATGGTGTCTCTTACAACTACTCGACTCTGCTGTTGTAGAGTGAAAGGGACCATAAATAACACATACATGAGTGGGCATGGCTGTGTTACACTAAAACTTTATTTACAGAAACAGGCAGATGTCCGATTTGGCTCCATGGGCCTTGGTTTGTAAAGCCCTGGTTTAGGTCTTCTTTTAAGCACTTTATACACATTCACCCAGTTAATCTTTGATGTAAACATTTGATGTTAATACTATTATTATTCTCATTTTACAGATGAACCTATGGCTTAGAGAGAAGTTATAAGAAACTTGCCCAAAGTCACACAGCTACAAAGTGGCAGTCCTGTAATTGAAATCTAGTTTTGAATTATGCTTTTAATGCTGTACTATTACTACTTTCATATGGAATTGTAAGTTTAAATAGAGTGGTCGAGGGAAAGCCTCACTGAGAGCAAAGCTCTAAAGGAGGTGAAGGAGTAAGCTATCGGGATATTGGGGAGTTGGGGGCTCCTTCCAAGCAGAGATAACAGCACAGGCAAAAGTCCTAAAGTAGGAACAGTCATGTCAGGCTTGAGAAGTAGTGTGGCTGCTGTGGAGTAAGTGAGGGGACAAATTATATAGTTTTGTAAGCCATTTTAAAGATTTTGGTTCTAATTTCCAGTGAGATGAGGAACTGCTGAAGGTTTTGGAGCAGAAGAGTGTCATGATGTGTGTTATATTTTAGCAGAATCACTTGACTCCTATGTTGAGAATATATTAAAAGGGAGCAAAGGCTGAAGCAGGGAGCTCAGTTAGCAGATTATTGTAATAATCCAGGATACAGATTAGGGTAGTGAGAAGTAATCTGACAGTGTGTGTAGAAGATATTGAGAGGATATGTTGATGTGGATGGATTTGGATATATCGTGTGTGAGAAACAGTAGTTGTGGGTGACTCCTAAGGTGTTTGGGTTAAGCAGTGAGGAGGATGAAGTCCCTGTTAACTGGAAGGGGGAAGACTGAGAAGCAGCAGTAGGGCTAGGGAGGGCAAGGAGGAGGAGGAGGACAGGGGGTTCAGTCTGGGCATATCTGGTATGAGATGCTGTTACACCTCTAAGCAGCAATAATTACTAGATAATTAGGTCTGGATTTCAGGTAAGAAGTTTGGGTTGAGGTTTTAAATTTAGGCGTTTTCAGTGTGTAAATGCAAAAAAAAAAATTCAGTCATGTTAGCTGTGGGGTTGTGTTTTCATGAAGTTAATAAACTAACAGGGCAAGCCTGCATGGTTTGCCAGCTGGGAGTTTAGGTGGCCTGGATCCCTGATCCAAATCTATGTTAGTCTTGGCTATGGTTTGGCACCACCTAGTGGCAATTGTTCATTCGCGCTTAAATGTCAGTTGGAGCTCTTTTGATTCTCTGGATGGTTTGGATTTATATGACAATGACCTTTAGCCAGTTGGTTAGCAGTTAGTTGATTAGCTGCCACTGGTTTTATCAACACGATTCAGGATTTTGGGAGAAAACTGAGCTTGTGGGGATGTGTGCTCTCCATTTTCACTTCTGAGAAGTGATATCTACAGTTCCCTTCCCCAGCCTCACTCATGTCTTCCCTACTCAAGATCAGAACTTGAGCCCATCCCCATAGGAGTACTGGTGCTGGGGAGAAGATAGGGAACTAGATATAAGTATTTCTGAATTTTAGTTATCATGGGGCCAGAAAAATGGATGAGTTTTCTACACAAAAGAGAATGTAGACAGAAAAATGAAAACTTCCAAGGACTGAGGTTGGAGCCACTCCAGTTTAATAAGTCCAGAAGACTGCGTATAACCACTGGTGAGGTAGAAGGCAAACCAAGAGGGTGATAGCCAGTGTTTCAGAGAGAGTGACATGATCGGTTTTGTCATCTGTTGCTGATGGGTCAAGAAATATGAGACTGAGACTTGACCATTGGGTTTAACAGAGTAGAGGCTGTTGATGACCTTGATAAGCATCTTACTGGAGTGGGATTAGAATATGTGTAATAGAGAATTAGAGGAGAACTGAAAGTGAATATAGACTGTTCTTTTGAATTTAGGTAAAGGGTATCAGAGATATAAGGTGAGAGTAGGGGAAGTGAGGATAAAGGAGATTTAGATTTTGTAAGAATATGTGGGAGAAATAACAGCTTGTTTTTTATAATTGATGGGGATGATTCAGAAGAGAGGAGGAAAATATAATTTTTGTTTATAAAAGTAATATACATTAATTTTAGAAAATACAGGTAAGTATGAAGAAGAGAATAATGCACACTTCTGCCACTGAGGTACTGTTGTTAGTATGTTTTTGGTGTATCACTTTAAAAAAATTTTTTTCCTTGTGATATAATTCACATACCATAAAATTCACCCTTCTAAAGTATACAATTTAGTGGTTTTTAGTATATTCACAAGGTTATGCACCCATCACCACTATCTAATTCCAGAACATTTGCATTACCCCTAAAAGGAAACCCAGACCCATAATATTTCCCATTTCTTTTTCTTCACCCAGCTCCTGGCAACCACTAATCTATTTTTTATCTCTATGTATTTGCCTATTTTGGACATTTCATGTAAATAGAATTATATAATAAGTGACTTTTTGTGTCTGGCTTCTTTCACTTGGCATGTTGTTGCATGTATTAGAACTTTATTCCTTTTATGGCTAAATATGGTGTGTTACTTTTAACATTCCTACAAACATGCACATATACCCTAGTATTCTTTGCAACTCTTACAGATTGGCATAATACTTTTTACATAGTACCATCTTTTTCACTTAGATATTTTCTCATATTGTTACATAATCTTTGAAAACATTTTTATGGTCTGCTTGATGTTATTAATAGACATCATAATTTATTCAACCTTTGTTTTCATTGGAGATTTTTATACTCTTTGTGTTTTAAAAAGTTTTATAACAACCTGAGAAGAACTTTTTTTTGATAAAACCATGTATACATATCTGATTTTATTCTTCAGCAGCAATTTCTAGAAATAGATTACTGATCATGGTGACTATACTTTTGAATGACTTTTGGCTATGTTGCCAGACTGCTTTACAGAAGGTTAACTAACCAGTTTGCACTGCCATGAGCAGTATGTGAACATGCCTTTCTTATCCTCGACACCACTATTACAATCACTGGAAAAAAATTGAATTATATGAAAAATTGTATTTCTGTGTATTGATTTGAGCTTTCCTTTGACTACATTGCTACCAGTAAGAAAAATGTTTAAGAAAGCATATTTATTTGAAAATTTCCTAAAACCACCTGAAGTTAAACTTTTTATGGTATACTTATTTAGCAACATTGAAAAAAGTGCACAGGTATTAAAGCAAGTTTGGCTGTGTCTTTTAAAATAAAAAATTGAAATTTCTGCTTTATTAATGTCTTAGAAGAGAGTTGGTTTTGGTTGTTAGCATTTTTTTTAAAAGTCTTTTTGGGTTTTTTTTTTAAGATTTTATTGGGGAATTGGGGAGGGGACCAGCCAAGTTGTCGTCCTTCAGTCTTAGCTGTGGAGGGCGCAGCTAGCTCAGCTCCAAGTCCAGGCGCCATCCGGCTGCCCGGCAGTTTGTGGCCGCTCAGTTCAAGGTGCTGTGTTCAATCTTAGTTGCGGGTGGGTGTAGCCACCATCTCATGCGGGAGTCCAACTGGCAACCTTGTTGTTAAAAGCACATGCTGAGCCATCCTACCACCTGTTGGCAGCTCAGCTCTGGCGCAGCTCACTGGCCCATGTGGGAATCGAACCGGTGACCCTGTTGCTCAGAGCTCGCGCTCTTAACCAACTGAGCCACTTGGCTGGCCCTAAAAAGTCTTTTGTTATGTATTAGAATTAGTGATTTTCAGCTACTTGTTCAGTTTTTATTCTATAAAATTCATAACCTTGAAATATGATAGCATACCATTCTGTAGTTCCTTATTAGAGATATATAGAGAGTTTTTAGAAATAACTATAATTTCATACTATAAAAAAGTGAGTAGAGTGCTAACTTTTAAATTTTGGTATTTATAGAATACAGGAACTCAAGTATAGTGACAGCTGTTTTGGACAAATGACTTTAAAACGTAAGATAAAGCCTAATAGGTCATTTGTAAATCACAGTTTATATGGTATATTCTAGAGACTGTGTAAGTTTTTAATTATTTAGATCTAATCTAGATTTATATTTTTTAAAAGTACATAAACATTTCTAATTCTTATTATATGTTAATCTCGGAGAGAAATGTATGCTTTTATTGTTGAGATTCTACTGGGAAGAGTCTGACTTAACTACAGAATCTATTCTATTTTTTCTACGCAGTTATGATAAATAAGAATATTTCTTTTTGTTGAACTAACAGCAGATTCAACCATCCTTATCTGTCAAAAAAGTGTATAAAAATCAGCTGTTGTTTGGTTGTCAAGCTATATTTCAAGATAAATTATGTTGGTAGGTAGGTAGATGGATTTATTTATGTCTGCATATATAGTATATGTGGTAAATCAAGTCACTAATCACTGCCCTAAATGGAGGGTTAAAGGTATAGTCTTACAGATGAAAATAAGGGGATATGTATTTTTTTCACGAAGCATTTTGTAATTGTTGTATCAACGATGAAACAAGAAAATGCAGTATTTTGCCTCGTAATTATTGTTTTAATCTTTTCAATCATTATGAACATCAAGATATCTTGTATCATTATTCATTATGTCATACCTTGTTTAAGCATTGGTCAGCTTTTGATTTTTTTTTCCTGTTTCTGATGACTAGGTTTTTGTTGATTTGTAAAATAATCATTAGTTTTTCAAAAAGATTTTTGTATTGTGTTAGTGAAGTAAAATAATGATAGTTACCATTAGTTGTGTCGGGCACTATGCTAAACAATGTATGCCATAACTCAGTTATTCCATGGTACCAACGTACTGCATTGATACTGCATTTTACACATGAGAAAACAGAGGCTGAGAAAGATAACCCAAGGTTACCCAGTTAGTAAGTTAGAGACAGAACTCACATAAAAATCCAGGTCCATTTTAAATATAATCCTTTGTTGCCTCTTGTTCTATTGTTAGTCTGTAGAACCTTTTCTGAGGCTATTAGTTCACTCTAGTCAGTAGAATGCTTTCTTTGTGCAGCTGTGAAATAGAAACCAGCTCTTTGGAATAACTAGCCAACTGTTATTCAGTGAACTACTTGAGAAATTGTTTATACTTGATTTACTCTATGCTGCGAATTCTTTCCATTGTTAAATGGTAGAAAAGCAGATCATAGATTTGTGTTAACATTTCCAAATATGTGTTTGAAACAGATTTGGCAGCTGATCGGAAGCTCTTCCGTCTGGTCTCCAATGATTCCTTCATCTCCATTCAGCCTTCCTTATCCTCTTGTGGACAGGACTTACCACGGGATTGCAATGACAAAGTGAGCCAGACAAGTCACAGCCATCACCACCATGTCGATCAATCTCTGTCCAGCGCCTGTGACACAGAAGTAGCTTCTCTTGTTCCTTTACATTCACATTCTTACAGGAAAGATCACCGGCCGCGCGGTGTACCACGGACTTCTAGCTCTGCTGTGGCTTTTCCAGATACTTCCCTGAATGACTTCCCGCTGTATCAGCAAAGACGTGGGTTAGATCCAGTTAGTGAGTTAGAATCTTCCAAGCCTCATTCTGGATCCAAAGAATCATTGGTGGAAAATTCTTGTTTATCTGGGGAATTCCAGCTTGTTGGTGAGCTGAAAAACAGTCATTCTCAGCCACCTACAAAAAGTGGGAAGAGCAAACCTTTGAAAGCGGAGAAAAGCATGGACAGCTTGAGGAGCCTAAGCACACGGAGTAGTGGGTCAACAGAGAGTTACTGCAGTGGAACGGACCGTGATACAAACAGCACTGTCAGCAGCTATAAGAGTGAACAGACCAGCTCAACTCACATAGAGAGCATCTTGTCAGAGCATGAGGAGTCTCCTAAAGCAGGAAAGAAAAGCGGTAGGAAAAAAGAGGGCTGTGCTGACCCAGAGGACAAGAGTAGCTGTACCAGTGACAAAAGGACTAGTAGTGAAAAGACTGCTTTGGAAGTGAGTACAAATAGTGGGGTTCAAGATGCTAAGGATTCCAATACCTCCAATGACACGCACAATCAGAGAGGTCTCAGCACCTCTGCATCTGAAGAAGCCAATAAAAATCCCCATGCAAATGAATTTACTTCGCAGGGGGACGGATCACTTGGGCAAACTGCTGAAAACAAAGAGGAGCAGAGTGATAAGCCCGCTGTTTCCGTGGACTCAGAAGTTGGGAAAGACATTGGTGGGAAGCAAAAGGAAGGGGACGTTCGACCCAAATCCTCTAGCTTAATCCACCGGACAGCCTCTGCCCATAAGTCAGGCAGGAGGCGGACAGGGAAAAAACGGGCCAGCAGTTTTGATTCAAGTCGGCATAGGGACTATGTTTCCTTCCGAGGTGTTTCAGGTACCAAGCCCCACAGTGCTATATTCTGTCATGATGAGGACTCTAGTGACCAAAGCGACTTGAGCAGAGCATCGAGTGTTCAATCTGCTCACCACTTCAGCAGCGATAGCTCTTCTAGCACCACTTCGCATTCGTGTCAGTCTCCTGAGGGCCGATACAGTGCTCTAAAGACCAAACATGTCCCTAAAGAGAGGGGTACTGACTCTGGGCACACACACAAATCTCATTTGGGTCCTGAAGGAACTGGCAAAAAGCGGGCAACACGTCGGACTTCCAGCACAAATAGTGCCAAGACTCGAGCCCGAGTCCTGAGCTTGGACAGTGGCACAGTAGCATGTTTGAATGACTCCAACAGGCTCACGGCACCTGAAAGTATAAAACCCTTAACCACTTCAAAATCAGATCTCGAGGCCAAAGAGGGAGAGGTGCTAGATGAGCTGTCTTTATTGGGACGGGCTTCCCAGCTAGAGACGGTCACTCGATCTAGGAATAGCTTGCCAAGCCAGGTTGCATTTCCTGAAGGTGAAGAAGAACAAGATGCAGCCAGTGGAGGTGAGTAAATTACAGGAAGAGATTTCTCCCAAGTCACTGCAGTTATTGCTATACTGATTAGAATAGTGCTCATTAAACTATGCCTTGGGTTAATATCCCCCTTCCCACTCTGTTATTAAAATAGACTTTCTTCCACGAAGGAGATGGTTCTCTTAGAGGTTTTTATATGAACACCAAGAAAATATTTTTCAATTGTATTCTTTGAATATATCAATTTGTTCTTCATGGCATTCACTTGTTTCTAAGCCAGTTGCCACCTGTTAATATTTTACCCAGGAATAACAAAAATTCGTCCTCTTCCTCCTTTGTATAGCAATAGCAACAACAAAAGGTAGAATTTTATTAGGGCACCAAACCATGTTTGGTCATCTCTTACATACTGTGTGCCACTGAATTTTCAGAATGAGATCGCGCAACCTGTTACATAAGATTTTCCCAAATATTACGATAACTCTGACTGTGTACTTTGAAAACTCTTTTATGTCTGTTTCTTTGGTTTTATTTTTTGCTTACTCAGGTTTTAGTCATTAACAATTTATTTTTTCTATAACCTCACACTTTTCTTAAGGTTTATTAAATCGATGTTTGTAATTTATATTGGCATTTAGTATCCATCAATGGATGTATGATGCGCCCTGTGATAATAGTGATGGTGTTTTGGTTAAAGCAATAGCTTATTTATTTCAGGTTTATGGGAAATTGACCAAAATTTGATAGGTGATTTTATATTATTAGTATGTTTGGCAATTATGTTTATTTCAGAGTTGTTTCTTGCTATTTCCTCCTGCTCAGAGTAGTTTGTTTGTTCTGTTCTGGTTACTATGGAATCTGGTTCTTGAGTGAGAAGAATTAAGTTTTCTGTTGCCAGCACTGTAACTTTTTTGTCTTCCACCTCCATTCCCTTTATTCAAGCTTGTATTTTTAGTTTTAAAGCTTTTAGTCTGTTGGTGTAATAACATTCGGTCTCTCATTAAAAGTTAAGCTGAATTTTTTGCTTTCACATTTTGAAACATAAGGAACATGCTTTTTCTCTCAAAGAATTGTAATTTCAAAAGTCTGTATTGTGGTGAACATTCTCTTGTTTTCTTTTGGTACAGTTTCTAACAAAAATTATTTTTTAATAGGAATGTGAAAAAATGATGTTTAGTACCTAAGGAAGAAAATAGTCTATCAAATGTAAATATTGAGAACTAGTTGTATCTGAAGTGACTGTAAACACTTGGTGACAATATAATTAAATTCTCTTGAGTCTTTGATGTGGATATCATTCTGTTATTTATAAAAGCTCTGAAATGCTTTCAGTGACTTCTCACATAAATGGTATCAGATACTTTCATGACATTCAAGAACCTACTGGGTTTTAAAATATAGCTTAATTTTAGTGAACATGCTATGATAGAAAAATATTGCTGTTCTACATATTGTTGAAATTTAAATACTAAAAAAATTGTTCAAGAGCTATAGTAAATTTTTAAGTCTTTGTAATTTTAAAATGTCATTTCCTTTTCACAGGGAATGTGAAGTGTTCTGTTTTTGGGAAAAGTTACAGGGAAGGTCTTAAATACTTTCAGTGAAGACCTTTGACTAATATGAGCTCTTATTTTTCCAGATTCCAGCTTTTATTTTTTTGTGTTCTTATTTTTAAAAAACAAACACATAAACCACTGATTGTTAATAAACAAATACTGAACCAAATATTTCCATGCACTTTGATAGAGTACATAAATGTAATAATCTGTGGGCTGGTAAACATTGTTGACTAAAGGAAGGCACTGTAGGGGCTGTTTTTATTTGAGCATTGTGTTTAGAATCAAAATACGAGCATAACTAAACTGCTTAATTGTGTTGAGGATTTATATTTGGTGGTTTTGATCATATTTTATTATGGGTTTGTTTGGGGTTTTTGGAAAATTAGGCGTAGTGGGAGGGGATGTTTTGATTTTTTTAAATTAAAGTTTATTGGGGTGTCAGTGGTTAGTCAAGTTACATAGGTTTGGATGTTTTGATTCTTATTATTTAAAAATTACATAGCATCTCAGATACTTGGTAACAATTTATTTTAAATTGTTAACAGTTCTTGCAATTTAGGGGAAAGTTTTCTGGGCTATCTAGTCTGCCTTACATACTATACTTCTGAAATGTGTCAACAAAACAGGCTACTGCTTGACCATTCATATGCCTCTGCATAAACCATAAATATATTTTATCCAAATAAATTGGGAAGTTTTGATTAGTTCTCCATCGATTTCTTTTTGTTTTATTTTTAAGCTGAATGGTGTTGGTAGTGTAGAAGGATTGAATTTAGGAAGTACTAATATAAAATGCTACTCTAAAATAGGAGTTAATGTAACAGTGACTTGGAGTCATACGCCCTCTGTAGTCACGGCTCTCGGAAAGCTACTTATCTTCTTTAAGCCTCGGCTTCCTGATATTTCATTGTGTTGATAACAGTATCTATCTCATAGAGTTGTTGTGTATTAAAGGAGTTAGTAAATGTAAAATGCTTAGAACAGTGCCTGGCACATAGAAAACGCGTGCTGCTGTTTCTATTATACAGGGCAGTTTATTATGCTACTCAAATGTATCCTGTTCTTAAAGTAGAAGAAAATTATGAAATATAGAGTGAATTAGAGATATTCTAATTGTGTCATTGTGAAAGTCAACAATAGTAAAAATAAAAATAATATCTGAATTCCTAATTTCTTACGTAATGCCAACAAAAAAACTTTTATAACGTCTAATATAGTAATATGGATTTTAATCTTATTTAGGTAGCAATATGTCATATAACATCTTTTGATAGTCACATAACAAGTAACTTTATATAACTTATCATTAATTATTTTGGTTAAAATTGGATTTCATCAATAATGTTCTGCAATTGCTTAGATAGGAAACAAGTTTTAGATATAAACTAAGATGTTTTCTGTTGTTGCGCTCTTGTGCTGCATAATTTTTTATAATTGTAAAGCATGTCTTCAATAGTTTGACTAATTTTTAAGAATAAAAAGATACAGACAAGTTATGTATGATAGAAAAGTGTTATTTTTCTAGCCTGCATTACTTTGAAAAATTTTTTCTTTTGGGTTATTTAAACTTAACTTACTGCATGATTCAACAGATTGTAAAGAACAACCAGAATGGAAAGGTTTATATTCACTCTATTATTTTTTGTTTTTCTTTTAATTTCTTAACCCCAGTTTTTCTGTTTGAGAAAATTATTTTCAGTGTAATGTTTAGGTTACTATTCTGTATGAAAATAGGATACAACTATAATATTTTTGTATTGGGAACCAAAGAGAATCTTTTGTTAAAGGTATATGATTTTATTCAGCTAAAAGTCAAATCTTTTTTGATAAATAATAAGGGTTTATGCCATACATTTAAATAGAGGTTGGTTATTTTGAAACTAGGTATCATTAAATATTAGGAAGAAAAAATGAAGACCACTGCATAGATAAAAACATGTAAATTGAAGCCTTTGTACTTTACTAAATAGAGGGACTCTAAATTCCAATAAAGTAATTTTCTGATCTCCCACTCAACATGCAAATTAGAAGAAACCAATTAGTAGGCAGTGAAGGGTGCTTATAGAGGCAAAAGTAATGACAGCAGAAGAAAGAAATGGTTAACACTAAAGGAGAAGCTGGAATAACTGTATGACTCAAAGCAGGAGCAGATTGTCTTTTTAATTTTAATTGTTCAAGGATATCATAGTATCATAACTTAATGCTAAATTATGGTATAATACAGTAGTAAATGTATATGTGACTGACACCAGTTTATTAAGGAAAGATTTTATTAGTCTAAACTGGGAGGAAAGACATAAAACCACATAGAACGATGTTCATTAAGTGTAGTAAACAGGTTTGAATGCTTCAGTTACTTGGAAAAATTATCTTCTCTTAAAAAGTATCAAGGAAAGAGGTATTTTACTGATGGGCAAATAGGGGTTTGTATATAGAATCCCCCAAACCAGCCTAATACCTGATTTTGTGTGGTAGGAACAGACATTACAGTATTTTTTTTTCTGGCAGCAGTGTGGTTCTAGATAAAGAATAAAATGGTTACACTTTAATAGAGGTTACACCTCCAATTACTAACTGGATACTCTGGCAAGCCATTAAATCTGTGCCTCAATTTTCTCCATTGTAAAACAGGAATAATAAATGTCTAGGCTTGTCTCGCAGTTAACTATCAGATTCTAATGAGCTTAGATGCATAAAAGTACCTTGTAAATTGTAGATTTATTATGAAAACAAAGATACTGATGCCTTTTAATCATTTGTAAGGAAGTTTCTCTTTTCAAATATATGTCACTTCAATATATACTCTTCATTAATGACCCATTATTATGTGATCTCCTGAAAATACATGCACAGTTGTTTTTGAGTGCAGTTTTCTGGGAGAGGATTGATATCTTTCATCCTATTCCTAAAGGACTTAAAAAGATTAGGAACCACCTATGAAAGTAAGTGATCCTTAAACTATATCTTTTAGGAACGGTTCTGTGTGAATTATGACTCCAGCATGTCATTTAATTATTTGAAAGCATTTCATCTATGCAACTGTATTTGTTTGGCTACCTGAAATTGTGGAAAATACCAATAAGGATATGCAAATTCTCTTTAACTCAAGTCACAGCTAATAATTTTGTTGTTTGCTGTTGTTTGTTGGTTTACTTGTCAAAAGGTAGAGTAGTCCTTTACAGTGTTTCACAGATGGAAATTATTTTAATTCAGAATGAATGCTTAGAAAGTTGTGCAGTAGATTCTTGTTCTTTGGCCTTGCAGAAAATGGCACTTTTGAAACTATTTGTTTCTATGTTAGAACTAAATCTTTGCATGCTGATATTAGCATCATCCTTGGCTGACATGGAAGATAAGAAAGGGAAAAGATGTTTAGATAAAATGGATTTCATACCTAGACTAAAATATTTCTTTTTAAATTTTTTTGCAAAATCATTTAAATGTTTATTTCTTCATATAGTAACTTTATTC